TCTTAAAATTGGCTAGGAATTCACGATCACTCTCCTTGTGATCTTCCAGTATTTTCTTCTTCATCTTCTCTAATTAAGAGTATAATTCTTTAATTTGTCTATGCAACTTTATCAATGTCAGTTGATGAGTTAATTTTATAATTTGTTTCTACGTGTCTTCTACTACTAGTTCTTGAAAAGTTTTTTTTATGTTTCTACATGTCTTGCTAGCTGACGAGGAAGAACCTCATCCCTTTTTACACAAACATGTCATATTATGTGATCCTTTTCAATCATAATTATTTAACAACACATAATTAACTTCCAGAAATCATTAGGATTTGATATCAACTAATATAAACAAAAACAATGTAAAAAATACAACAATAACAAACAACATAAAATTCTACCAAGTAGAGTCAATAGATCAAAAATTCTAGTTTGAAATTTATATTTCTCAATAATTCACTTCACCATTTCTTAATAATTCACTACACCAGTAAGCTATTGAAATACAAACTAAGAAATTTTATTTATACTAGTTTTAGTCTAAAATGAAAAAACAAAATTCTAAACTAAGTAGGAAAAATAATAAAAATACTAATATGAATAAAAATGACTAAGGAAATAAATAAGTTTCCTTAAAACTCCTTTTCATCCTAAAGTTACCGAGCATAATAACAAATGAACTGCATTCTAATCTTGCTCGCACTGAGGTAGATATGGCGATCCATGTTAAGTAACTCCAGCTTTAATGAACACCAAAGAATCGAAAAAAAAGTTGTCCTTATTGGCAGACCTTTAGTTGTATACGAATAGATTGATTTTCTTGAATTATGTACTCCATAACATTTTTCATCTCATTAATTTGTGTTCTGTATTTTTTGACTTTACCTCTATGATCATAGTTGACGACATAATTTGTGTTTTTTTTTTTTATGACTTTACCTCTATGATCATGATATCGTCCATATTTTGAGAGCACTAACAATAAGCCTTATTCTATTAGGTGGTTACAAGCAAGGTTTCAAGATGTCAAGGTTTATGAAACCTTTGTATAAATCTCTTCATGTAATCATAAGTGTAGGTTTAAAGTTTAAACGTTAATATATGTGTTCTAAGCTTATGAATAAGTGGGAACATCATGCTTTTAAATAGTTCATAATTTATATGTTAAAGTAAACACAATTTTAAAGGCCAAAGGAACTTCAAGCAAAGAGATGTCAAGAAGGTTTCAAACTTCAATTTAGACCAATTACAAATTTATTGCTTGACAATTCAAACATCCAATTTAAAGTACCACAATTAGCTAATGAATTTTGTGGAGAAGAAGGTGACGATGGCGATATTAGTATTGGTTCGATTAGAAGATAGTGATAATGATAATAATAATTATAGCAGCAATTGTAACAAGCACGATGACAAGAAGGCAATGGTAGCATGCTTGTAGGATACCTGGTGATTTGAAGAGACAGTGACATTAGAGGCCATAACAGTGGTGATGATAGTAAGGGAATGGATGAGTGGTGTTCGCAAGAGATTTGAATCTCCATATAAAATACTCTCCATTCCCATAAGGTGAAACTAGTTTTCTCAAGAGTAACTAAATTTGTAAATCTATAGTAAAAATATTTCTAACTGGCTGATTTTTCTGTGTTATCAAATTGTAAAATAATGCAAAACCGTCTTGATGAGTATTTCTAATGTGAAAATTTTTATTGGATCCCTCTGCTAATATAATACCGCGTTGTAAATTTTTATTTTATACCAACTCTATGTTGTTTAAAATTAAGAATTGATCAATGAAATATGTTGGAAAAAAATTATTCACTTTGATTTCATTGATCAATCCTTAATTATTAACTTTAACAACATTAAATGACTTAAGAGTTGTTAGTAAATAAAAACTTATAATAAAAAGACAATACAATATCATGTTGATAGAGGGTAATAGAACATTTTCTAGGCGAAAGCTCGTATTAATAGTGTCTTGACACTTACTAAAGCTCTGTATTTCTCAATTGAGTGAAAGTGAAAAGATATTTAGTTTTATGGGTTGCTAGTCGACAAGTTTGATTTCAAATCCTAAGATTAAAGTGGAAGTTAAGTATATTTTTTCTTCTAATTTGAAGATTTCTCTCTAATTTCTAGATATATTAATTTATATTAATGATAATATTATGATTTTAACTATGACTCCCATGTTGGTCTCTAGAAAAATATCTTTAGAATAAACATCAATTAGTGGACACTTTATACTTAATCAAATAGTCATGACGCGACATGAAATATTCTAAAGGTAAAAACTCAAGATTTTAAAGAATTAACTAACATGAACATACTAGCTAGTAGGATGGTGCTTAAAGATTTTGTTAGTTTGTTTATAAAGGATGTCTTCCTCTAAAATATATTGTTCTACGTCAATTCCTTGATTTTGGCCTATAGATTTGTGGAGTTCTGGCCATAATATGCTTTTTGTTTTAAAGAGAGTAAGTCCTTGTTTGGTATTCCGTTCTAAAGGGGGGTTGAGCAAAATTCAAAATTTATTTTTGCTTAATTACTTTATATTTTTAAATTGTTTTGATATATTAATATTAAAAATATTTTTAAAAAAATAAAAAAATATTATTTTGATATATTTTTGAATGAAAAATATTTTAAAAAAACAATCACTATTACACTCTTAAACATCTCCTAAACTCCAAGACTTATAAGCTAGGAACATATATATTCTAACCAATGTAGAGACATTGGTATGTAACCAAGCAACTAAGGAGTCTTTAGCATACAAATCACGTTATTATATGTATGCCACCAATAATTTTAGGTTTATATTAACATTTGATTATTGTTTTAAGATATAAAAGATAGATAGTAGCAAATAAGAAGAACATCTTTTTATGCTTTTTGTTTTGTAAAGATAAAAATTTACTCTAAAAATATTTCATGAATAAATTATTTTCATATCATCTAGGAAATACAAGTTTAGATTCTCACATATACTATTTGCACATAAAATAAATACCTTATAGATAAAATTTATTTAGTTAAAGAGAGATATAAACACAAAATAAATATATTTCTTAAATAATTTTAAAGTGAATTTATGCATTTTTAAAATAAAAGATAAATAGAAACTTGTTCTTCTCTTTATTTTCTTTAGTTATTTTTTCTTGAAACAATAATCAAACATTACTTATATGATTTGTGTATAATTTTTCCCTTAAAAGGAATTGCTACATGCGGAACTTAATTTTTTTTTGTCCTTGTACTCTCAGTGAGTTCTTTGTAGAAGACTTTTTTGAGAAAAATTGTGATTAAAGCTTATAAAATGTTCGACTCTAACTAATACATGTATGGTAATTAAGTATCAAAGGAGTAAAAAACTAAAGGGAGAAACAAAAAGACAAATGGTAATAATGCTGAAGAAATTAATAGTATCAAATTCTAATTATTGAAATTCAAACCAATGATTCGGGTTTTTCCACCATATGTCATGTCACTCCTAACTCGAGAGGAGTTTAATCCAATCTAAAGAGCTTTCATATATCATTTCTTATAAGACTTAATAACATCTAATCTAAAAAGCTTTCATATATCGTCTCTCATAAGACTTCATAACATCTATTATAAGACTAGGTTTAATGAATATGACACTGGGCTATAATGGTGAGGAGGCAGGGCTTCTTTGGTGGAGGTCGGCATGCCAAGTGGTAATAATGATACGAGCATTTAATTTCTTTCTCATTATTTGCATTTAAATAAAAAATACTCATTGCTTTCTGGGGGGGAAACATGGACTGCTATATATACACATATGAAAAAGAAATTAAATACTCGTACCCTTATTACCATTTGGCATGCCAACCTCCATCAAGGAAGCCCGAATTCCTTACCATTATATATAATATTCTTTGTATGTAT